TCATTGGAAAATGTGGAGGTCTACCTCTAGCAATTGTTGCCATAGGTGGGCTTCTCTCAAGAAAAAACAAGATTCTTTCTGAATGGAAAAAAAATACTTGATGATTTTGGCTCAAAATTAAGTGGTGATTCCCATCTTGAAGATTGCAACAGAGTTTTGTTTGAAGGGTATCATGATCTCCCTCACCCTCTCAAGTCATGTCTCTTATACTTTGGTGTGTTTCTAGAAGGCTACGAAATTACATTTGGGAGATTAATTCGCCTCTGGATAGCTGAAGGATTCATCCAATGCAACAACCACCTTCCATCTGAGCATGTTGCCGAAGAATACTTGAAAGAACTTATTGATAGAAGCTTGGTTCAAGTTTTAGAGAGAGAACCTTCTGGACGAGCTAAAAGTTGTAGAGTTACTGATCTGATGTACAAGACCATTCGCAGTAAGATGAAGGAATGTGATTTTTGTCACTGCTTTGATGAAAAAGACTTTAGTCACTTTAGTAAAACTTGGCATATTTCAATAGACAAATGTGCTAATGGTGTTTTAGAGAGCATAAAAATTTCAAAGATCCGTTCCATTTGTCTTTTCAATGTAGACAAATTGCCCGAGTCTTTCATGACTACGTTTGTTGCTGATTTCAAGCTGTTAAAGATACTTGATTTTGAAAATGCCCCTTTGGATTGTCTTCCTGATATAGTGGGAAAGCTCTTCCATTTGCAATACTTAAGTTTGAGAAATACAAAAGTTAAAGAACTTCCCAAGTCCATAGGCTTGGTTCTCAACTTAGAGACTCTTGATTTGAAGTGGATATTTGTGATTGAGCTCCCAGTTGAGATCAAGAATTTGAAAAAAATTGTGGTCTAATTGCACGACGCTGGGATGGTGGTCCTTACTAAGACAGAGCAAAAATACAAGAAGGTTTTGGGGCTTTAACGGAGTTGAATAAGCTACTTCAAGTGCATGCAAATTTTGAAGTGCTTGATGAGCTTAGGATGCTAAAGCAGTTGAGAAAGTTGGGCGTTGAACTTGGATATAGAGATGTGAAGGATCTGTTTTCTATTGTCGAGAATATGGAAAACCTTGAGCAGTTGAGTATATCAATGTTGACAAGTGTAGAAGAGATTTTTGATATAGAATCCATGGTTTCTCCTCCGCAATGTCTTCAACGCTTGGACTTGAGTGTGAATATCAAGAAGCTACCAGTTTGGATTCCTAAACTTCAAAACCTAACCAGATTAGAATTGTGGTTGAATGGATCAACCAATGATTCCATGACAATCCTTCAAGCTCTACCTAATTTATTGGTGCTTATCCTCTATGTGCATGACTATGATGAACAATTGCATTTCAAAGAAGGTTGTTTTCCAAAGCTCCAACGCTTGTATCTCTACAACTTCAAAGGATTGAAATGCATGATGATAGAGAAAGGTGCAATGCCTAGTCTTACATACCTGGTGATTGGACCATGCCTATTGTTGAAGGAGATTCCAACTGGAATTGAGCATCTCAATAAGCTAAAGACACTTGTATTTGATATGATGTTGAAGAAGGTTTATTGCATGATAAAAAATGAGAATTGGGAGAATGTCACTAAACACATTGCACAAGTACATGTCAACTATAAACAGATAACAAGTAAAAAAGATTACTCTTTTTACACTAGTAAACAACTGTCATCTCTTTCGGTAGAAGATTTCGAGGAGCTTATTGAAGAAATTGAGGCTGAGTAACGAGCAGTCCCATCACATAATCAATAGGTCAATTTCCTAAAACACGTAAGCCTTTTGAATAGTAAGTTTCTCTTAAATTCACTTCTCTGCTATTAAATATTAGGTTATGCCTAAGATATGAAGTTTAATTTCTTTCATAATATTTGTTACATTCTCTAAACTAGGACAATTAGTTATATCTCAATGGTATCGATTAGGGAAGAGAAAGTTTTTCACTCACATAAATGTTCTTTACGGGCAAAGATTAGTTCAGGTTTTTTTATAATTTAATAGTTGGATTAATTCTAATATGGTAGTAATTGTAATTAATCATCAATTATCTGAATTTTTTTTAATAAATACACAAGTCTAATTATCATAATAAAAATATTCTTGTATTTTATTTGATTTAAATTACCTTAATTAATTGATAAAGTTTCGACTGCCGGAATCCGCTACTGGCAGCCGTAGGCCCGTCACTGGAATTTATTTTGGTAATATTAGGCCTAATTAGTAAATATGCGTATAAAACACGTATCCAAGTATTTCCCAAAGAGCTGCTGAATTATTCGCGAATTTTTGGAGTATCCGAATAATTCGCGAATAATTGAAAAAAAAAAAAAAAAACAAAACTGATTGACATCCATTTTCCCGCCTATTTCACACTGATTTACCCACTGACATCCATTTGTTTTATTGGAAAAGGAGAATAAAAATATAAAATAATCCTCTCAGAAAATTCAAAACTCAAAATGACTTATTGACATCCATTTTCCTGCCCACACCTTTACATTTTAAACTCAAAACACATACAAAATTATTTTATATTCTTAAATTATTTTCATACTATCTAATAAATTAGATTGGATTGATGATATTAAAATAATGATTTATTGTGAAAAAAAAAAAAAACTGTCATATATTATAGGTATAAAATAATAGTTAGATTATTGTAACACTAATCTTTTATATAGATTTGTGAGACAAAATTTTATTTCTTGATGGATTAATGGGAAGTTAAAATTAGTTGCATTTAATATCAAACTTATCAAGTTTTAAATTATTAAAGAATCATGACTAAATATTGTGTTTGAGTCTAGAGATTATAATTTGAATATCAGTTATATATTGTATATTTGTGTTATTGGTTAATTAAATACTTTGCATTTAAAATACTATATTGATTTTAGCCAGGTAATCCATAAAATTATTAACACTAAGATTGATATTGCCGTATTTTTCAAAACGTATTATTGACAATGCACCGTATTAAACCCGTATATACCCGTATCGTATTTTTTTCGTATCCGAATTTTATGGCCGAATTTTTATAAACTTATTTTTCACCGTTTGCCGTGTTATACCTGTAAAATTTCGGTACCCTTTTTTGGCCATACCCGTATTTACTAACTAGGATATTAGGTAACAGTATTGGTATCAAAATAATTCAATTTTAACGATCCATCTATATGTGCAATTTTTGCCAGCAATATGTGCAACATTTGGCCAGGATCTGATGGTGAAAGTTCGGGTGGCTGCGCTTTCTCGGTTAGATCCCAGCTAAATGCAATCATTTTTCCAGTTTAAAATTATATAGACAGATAGATCGTTTAGAGATGACTATTTTAATAGCAATTTTGTTACTGTAACATGCCGAAAAAGTCTTCGGTTACTGGAAACGAAATTATTAGTTTGTTTTTCTTTTTTTACATTTTGTTTTTTTACTTATCCTATGAATTAATTTAGCTTACTGATGTAAATCTTCTATTTTCACGAGCAGATGAAGAATGATGTTGATGAATCCATATTTTCCTGTTATCACCCAAGATGACTATGGCTTTTTCTTGTAATAAAGGATTTGTATTGCTTGTAATTCATGTGTGTAGTGTCATCAATAATGGTGCAGTATTGCTTGTTATCAACAAGCAATATCTACTGTCAATGTTTTCCTCTTGTAATTTCCATGTTGTAGGGCGGGGAGTTTTCTTAAACTTTCCGTGTAATATCTACTTTGAAATATTGTATTTAAGGTTAAATTTCACCTTCTAAGATGATATCCTAGTGCACATAAACTTAATTTCTTGTCTTGAGATTTTTCTCTTTTAGTGGAAGTTTAATGGTGGCTACTTCCATTTGAAGTTGAAGAAAGTATGTCACCTCTGCCAATAGTAAGCAGCTCTCCTGATGTACCATGTTTCCATTTATTTGGTGAATTTTATTCTATGAACCTGCTAAAAAGTATTGTTTCTAAGCTTCAATTTCGCCCTCCAAGATAATATTCTGACTACTGAGGCGATAGTACATGGTAATGATCAAATTTTCTTCCCCACTATAGCTAGTTCTCCAAGCTCAGCAATTTTTGTTGGTTGATTACTTGATTTTATAAAAAGACTTTTATGTTTACTCTTTCAATAAAAGTCAATGAATTGTAAACCATTGTGGAAAGCTTCGCCAATAAAAAAACAAAGTCCTCTGTTTTCCTCTGTTCCCTTTTAACAAAGTCCTCACAAATTTCTCCCATCCACATGATTAATCATATGTTTCTTTCTTGGTGTTCTTAATTGAATGTAAAACACTAATAATCAATTAATTCCATGAAAGAAAACATGACCAAATCTTATTTCTCTTTTCAACTTACAGTGTTTGCATATATCTCTGTGTGCTAAATATTCGTTTAATAGTTTGTTCACGGATAATTTCACAATATCCTTGATAGGACATATGGCGCTTTCTTTGAGTAGTAACACTAAATTCTAAGTTATTTTATCTAATACCAACTTGCTCCTAAGATCCACTCGAGGTAGAAGGTATGTCTACGGGGGCCACTAAGGACAAGAGTTGGTATGTCAAATTTAAGAAAAATAAAATCACAACCATCCTTGATCTGATATACGTGTCCCGCCACATGAAAGTTTACTAGTAAATTAAATGAATATTTGTCATTCAAGACATTAAAAAACTCTAGGACCTTGGCACTTTTTTCATCAAAAAGGAAGAAATATTCTTTCTCATTTTTCTAAAGTAAATGCACATTTAATAAATCGGTAATTTGACTATAGATTGACTTGAGCGTCGGAGAGAACACCCAAACAACCACCCTTACTACTAACTTCTAGCAGGCCCAGGCCCAGGCCTACGCTTTTGGAGTGTGAAGTACTAGCCCAATTGATATTGATTGAGGCCCAAACATAAAACCTCATTAACTTTGGACTTTCTTGGACCTGGTCGGAGCGGTTTGTACCCGAGTTTTTACCAACCTTCCTCCTTGTACTGGATTGGTGAGTGGCACTCTCTTTCCTACATAGTGGAGAAATAGTATTTCTACTCAACCCCACTTTTATATCTTCTTGATGAAAGAGCACATGGCTGCGTTTCTTGTATTTCTTGGCTGCCTGTTCAAGATCATCCACTTTACCCTCTAAACCCTTTGAACTCTCCGGTATTTTATCTTTTTTTCCCTTTCCTGCATGTCATATTATGCTCATATTTTTTTTTGTTTTGGTGTAATCTTTACTGTTAATAAAGCCTGACTGAAAATCTTAACTTAAACCGCACTTAAATTTCCAATTCGAGATAGACTGAGAGTTTGTATCTCGTTTGAAGTCAAATTTTTAGGTTACAATGATTTTCACTTGTTTGTAAGTTATTGGATCATATGTTTTGACGACTTATGTCTGAAAACTTTAGATTTTCTTTCTTTCTTCTCATAATAATCACCTTCTTTTGTGATTGTAGATGCTACTGAATCTACATAAAAATGGCAAAGAAAAGAGTAACAATGAATGAGGGAAGACTTAGGAAAATTTCTTGCGTGTGTTTTTTTTTATTATTATTATTTTTAATTCTCATTATTATTTTCAGAGGTTTTGAGGCTAGAGTATTAGAGGTTTTGGGTTTTTCTATTATTTTGTTGATTTTTGCAAGAATTGTGTGTTAATTGGGAAAGTGGTTTTATTCGGCAAAGTTCCGTTGTTAATGATTGACTGTAACAGGGTTTAAGATTGTTGCTATATCTTTATGGCTTATATTCCACCACACAAGCGACACTCAAAGGATTCGAACCGTCCATCTCCAACTGCAGAGCTGCTTGCTCCACATTTCAAGAGAGATTTGAACTTGAGATCATCTCAGCATAATGTAGACAGGGTTGGGAAACTTATCTTTGCAGACCAATGCGTATACAGATGGTTCGTTGTTGATTTGGATGATAATCACCAATTTCCTTCATTTGTCCACCTTGAGCCGATTTCAGAACCCATTCAGCGGACTATAGGAGAAAAGTCCTTAGTTTTAGTGAACAATCATGCAGATAAAGGTGGTGTTATGCCCTGTTTAGTATTATCTTAATCTATTATACTTTTTTTTTTTAATTTCATTCTAGTGTTTAAAGTAGTAGTACTGATCGTTTTCTCTCTTGTTTGTAGGTAATGATGAAGTGGGAGGGAATATATCAAGACGACCTTGGGAATTTGTTGCTAAAAATGCATGGCCAGATTTATTGACTTCTTTTAACAATCTGAGGAACAAAATGGAGTGCAGAGAGCTGGAGAAAGTAAAGCCAGTATTAGTCGCTAGATTTGGCAAAATTCTTTTTCATGGGTAAAGAATTGATTTGCTTTATTGGCTTGAATGTTATATAATGCTTCCTTGATTTGTCTTTCTTTAGGAATGTTACATAAGCCAACATGACTGAGACTGTTACGAGAATCTTATAGAATCTTATGGTCAATTAAGAATTAGCAGTTGAAATAGAGGGAAATTATGAGGTTGTCCCCTACCTATTCCCATGGAAGGGATAGGAGTGAATCAGAAAGTTCGGGTAATATTTCTTAAAAAGCCAAAGTAAAGAAAATTAAAACAATGATTTATCATGCACGCTACCTCTTTGCCTTGGAATTGGCGACTTTTTTTGTTATGATTTACTAGTTCACTCAAACCCTTTCATTGTCCTTTGTGAAGATGGAAACACTTTGCAAAAGCACATATCTAGCACTGCTGTTGATGCCTTGCCGTACCTGAGAATTGCTTGATTGTTGGTGCTAGTAACTCGTTTATCATTTCCCCAGCCTGACTTTTTCTTGACTGACCAGTCACATAACATATTAATTGGGAAAACAATCAATCTGCTGGCTGGCCTATTTCTAACCATACAATGATGATACTCTATGTACCAAATGTATTTCCCCTTCTAGTCATGTCTGTGGCTCAATTAGTTTGTAATGTGAAGCAAACATATGTACTAATAGTTGGTGACAAAAAAATTGGACTAAGCAGCTATTATAAGATTAATCTTTGTGATGCAGGAACTATTCTGTGAACATAGAAAAGGTCAAAAAAGATCCAATAGCTGAAACCACTCTGAAACAATTGCGGAGACAATTTTATACAAATGTTCCTACGTCTTATATGGAAAACATTATAAGTGAAGTTGTGCCAAAAGTAGGAGTTGATTTTGAAGCAGATAAGGATGTATACTATATCTGGGTAATTGTTCTTCTAAACCCCTGTCTATTACAATCATGTTACTTGTACTTCATATAATATAGCTATTGACTTAAATTTCATTTTCTAGGTGATTGACAATGCATGACGAAAGACAATTTTATGCAAATGTAGAGTAAAAGAAGATAAAATGCTTGAGCTCTATAAGGCAAGTTTTCTGTTACTTACATTATATGTGGATAATATATCAGATTTTGCATGAATGTCGCCATTATTTTAACTTATTTTAACCTATTATAAAAATAAATCGGTGTTGTGAAAATAGGATGATGGAGGTCAATGCTTCAATTTGATAATCATGATTCTTAAACATTCAGAGTTGGTTACTTTTGAAAAGTCAATGAAACAAGGCTTTTGCTAAAGTTAATTCTACCAGGAACTGTAGAGGTAAATGAAGCTGTCAGCAGTACCTATATGTATGTTTTTGAATAAAAAGAAAATGGATTGAACTGAGTTTGTGAGATGAATTTTGATGTAAAAAGTGATGGAACTACTATATTATAAACAAGAAAAGATGAAACAGGATAAGGATAGAAATTTTTAGAATCTGATTAAGACCTTTTTTTTTGTAGTCTTCCTAGAAACATTTAAATTGAATTCACCATTAAAAGAAGAAGAAAAAAGAAATAGTTTTCAACTCTTTTGAATTGTTTGTAAAGGACTTGCTTATACAGGAGTAAGAAGCCCTGACATAAACCAAAGTATATGTACCATTACAGGTGTGATCCTGAGTGTTAAATTGCAAAAACCTTGCTGATTATGAACCAACTTGAATTTGCCCTTCTTTAAGAGTGCCTTTTGCTTCATAGGATTTGGATCTGGGTAATATATCAGGGACATAAAGAAATTTTAAGTACCTCATTGGATTCATTTGTTTATTTATATTTTGAATTGCCAAAAATATTATATATTCACTTTAAATTCATCTTTATTTTGTATGTAGAGCCTCATGCTCAATCAGAGATATTTTCTTGTAGATTGAACTAAACCATACTCGTCAAACGGTCATAGACATATCATGCGTGGATAAGAATTTAGACCTGAGGCTGATGCTATGGACCAAGAGTGTTGTCACTGACTTAACTGTAAGTTAATGTGCAAACCTACGCATTAGATGCTTTGGGTAGAATAATTTAGCATAACTTTGTTTCTATTTTCTGTCTTTGTTTTAATCATGTTAATTTTATCTTTGTTGTTACTAATCAGAATATTTATTCATTTCAAACAAAGAAAAAAACAACTTTAAAGCAGTAGAAGGAAATCTTTGTTCTATAACTTGATTTTATCTGGCCAAACTCTATTTTCTAAAGGATGAAGAAAGAAGAAATACAAGACAAAGCTCAAAGAGTTAAACATACAGTCATATATATAATACCTTTTCACTGAGGATTACAATCTATGTGAGTTTTCCTTCCAGACATCATGAAAGTTAACAAATGGTTGAAGTAAAAAACAAAATCATCAGAATCAAAGTTTTAATTGCCAACTCGTAGGCTTAAAAAAAAAATTTAATGCTTTTGCTTTGTACAATGAGGTTCCTTATTTGATTTTTTTTTTCCTTTTTTGTGGTAGTCTATCTTTTGAGACTCCAAAGTATTAGTTTATATTTGTTTCAGTTATCCCTGAGAATGACATCTATGATCAAACTGATTATATGCGTTCTTCCAGGATGAAGAAATGCAGAGCCTTAGAAATCTGATTAGTTCAGCCGTTTTAGATCCAGGAGTGAAGGGTGGTTTGAGATGGCCCCTAGGTAAGTCAAACTCAGGGGTTCGGTATCGTGTTAGTGGGGTTTGGCACACAGAAGTTAAGTTGTATGAAAGCTCATCACTGAGGCTCAAGGTAAGACATGCTGATCGATTTAGTTTTAAGTCTTCTACTGGGGAGTCTGCATTGGAGATTACTCTGAAGTTGAAGCGATTAGCTTCAGACATACTGGTAATTGTCATTTATTGCATTCAACTTTTTCACTTGACCTTCTCTTTTCATGTGGGACTTAATAAATGTTGAAATTATTGCTATTCAGAAATTTATCATTGAAGTGCTTGTTTTCCAGATCTTGTTTCTAGTTTCACCGTTGAGTTGCAAAACAATTTCAGCATAGAAAATTTCAATGAATTGCAAAATTTTTATGAAGAATTTCAACATGGAAGATTATAATGAAAATATTTTACGTTTAGCTGTTTTAGGTTCAATGATTTTTTTTTTTTTTTGCTTGCAATGAATCATATGGAGCAAGCAATTGCTTCTGTTTTATTTATTTCTGCACTTTCATTAGCTTATCTTTCAGTACATGAAAGATCTTACATGCGTTATTGTTTCTTTTTTTGCAATTTCCAGGAGCAGAAGTGGACACTGATACTATCTAATATGTTTAAGGACACCTTAGGGTTGGTATGGGATCATTTTCTGTGTTGTGAGCACTTCTTGACATAACACTCATGCAAGCTTACCTACCGTGAAAGTGTTAATATGTTAATGTCAGTGATGGGAATAACCCATGTCCGTCTCCAATGGTGGAACATTTCTTGTAAATATTTGTTACAAAATATTTTGCTGCTTCTTTTTTCTTTCTTTTTTAATCCTGTAAGAGCTAATATGGTACAAGTTTGGCGTTTCAACAATGGTATGCTTGATAATCATCGACAGATTATGTATATGTGATAAAACCATTAAATAATTGAGCTGGATGTTTATTGTGCAGAAGGGGGTCAAAAATATTCAGTAGGTACTATAATTTGTTTTAATAGAAGAAGTTTCTTTGTAATTATTATATCACTGATTTTTAATTTTTTGTGTTTTATGTGTTCCTGTTTTTTTATGACGGAAGAATTTAGACAATTTAGGGCAGTTTTGGCTTATTATTTTGTCTATATTCCCAATCCTATTCTCCAAATAATGTTTGGTATATTATTCTAGAAATATTATCTTATTTTTAATTACTGTTAAACTAGGTTATTAATTCATAAAAACCCCTTAAAAAAAAAGTTTAAAAAATAACAAAACACTTTCATGATCTATACTTGTCAAATTCCGTCAACCACTGTCAGTGGTTGCCAGAATCTGTCACAATTGTGAATTACCTCATAATAACTGAAGAAAGATTTACTAAGGAAAATTTACAAGAACTTTACCATTCAATAGAATCCACTCTAACGGAGATAGACAAAATGGAAGAGAAAGATTTTATCATGAAGTTAGAGGGAACATTTAAAGGACAAATGTTACATGATTGTGTTTGAAGACGTGTGGAAAATAAATTTTGAGAGATGTAGAGCATGCTACTTGATAACAAAAAAAAAAAAAAAAAAAAAAAAAAATAGTAGAGTAATGCTAACGACATGGAATAAAGCAGTTGTTGAATTCGTACTATTCACATGCTTGAACCCTTGTCTTCAGAGAAGGGATGGGAACTTTTTTGTAGAAGGGCATTTGGCTCTAACGGTTGTTGTCCTCCAAACTTGGCAGAATTATCAGAACATATCATTGGAAAATGTGGAGGTCTTCCTCTAGCAATTGTTGCAATAGGTGGGCGTCTCTCAAGAAAAAGCAAGATTTTTTTTTTAATGGAAAAAAATACTTGATGATTTTGGCTCAAAATTAAGCAGTGATTCCCATTTTGAAGATTGTAATAGAGTTTTGTCTGAAGGTTATTATGATCTCCCACACCCTCTCAAGCCATGTCTCTTATATTTTGGTATGTTTCTAGAAGGCTACGAAATTAAATTTGGGAGATTAATTCGCCTCTGGATAGCTTGAGGCTTTGTTCAGTGCAACAACCACCTTTAATCTGAGCATGTTGCTGAAGAATACATGAAAGAACTTATTGATAGAAGCTTGGTTCAAGTTTCAGAGAGAAAACCTTTTGGATGAGCTGGAAGTTGTAGAGTTCATGATCTAATGTACGAGATTATTCGCAAAAAGATGAAGGAATGTGATTTTTGTCATTTCTTTAACGAAAAATACTTGAGTCACATTAGTACAACTAGGCGTATTTCAATTGACAAATGCGCTAATGGTGTTTTAGAGAGCATAAAAAATTCAAAGATCCGTTCCTTTTTCATTTCAATGTAGACAAATTGCCTGAGTCTTTCATGACTAAATTTGTTGCTGATTTCAAGCTCTTAAAGATACTTGATTTTGAAAATGCCCCTTTGGATTGTCGTCCTGATGGAGTAGGAAAGCTCTTCCATTTACACTACATAAGTTTGAAAAATACAAAAGTTAAAGAACTTCCCAAGTCCATAGGCATGCTTCTCAACTTAGAGACTCTTGATTTGAAGTGGACTTTTGTGAGTGAGCTCCCGGTTGAGATCAAGAATTTGAAAAAATTGCGCTGTCTAATTGTACGATGCTTGGACAACAAAGGTCCTTACGAAGACAGAGCAAAAATACAAGAAGGTTTTGGGGCTTTAACAGAGTTGCAGCAGCTACGATATGTGCATGCAAACAGTGAAGTACTTGCAAAGGAAGTGCTAAACGGATTCTAGGCATGGCAATAGACAGAAACAGAAAGAACTATGAGTTAAAAGTCCATCAGAAGTCTTACATGCAAAACTTAGTGTCTAGATTTGGCATGGCAGGGTCCAAAACCGTGAATGTACCCTTGGCTGGACACTTTATGTTAAGTAAATCACAATGCCCCAAAGCTGATGTTGATTTAATCAATACGGAAAATATCCCTTATGCAAATGTAGTTGGTTAGTCATGTATGCCATGATTAGCACCAGACTAGACATTTCCTTTGCAATTTCCCTCTTAAGTAGATTTATGTCAAACCCTAGTTTTGAACATTGACTTGCTCTCAAATGGCTTCTTAGATATATTAAGAGTTATGTGCATGTTGGCTTGGAATATGGAAAAAGATATGACTCACTTGATCTTGTAGGATTCGTAGATTCTGACTTTGCAGGTGACAAGGATTCAAGGAAATCAACCATTGCATACGTGTTCACCTTAGGAGAAAACTGTGTGAGCTGGAAGTCCCAGCTCCAACCAATCGTTGCTCTATCCACAACTGAGGCAGAGTACGTGGCTGTAACGAATGTTTTCAAAGAAGCTCTCTGGCTCCAAGGGTTACTGTCAGAAGTTAAACTACTAGAGGGTGCTGTCACTATCTATTCTGATAGCCAAAGTGTCATACATTTGAGCAAGAATCCTGTATATATATCACGAGAGGACCAAACATGTTGATGTTAAATACCATTTTGTGAGGGAGCTGGTGGATAAAGGGGTGGTCATTCTGAAAAAGGTGCCAACCGAGGATAACCCTACAGATATGGGATGCAACAACCGAGCTATGATGAGAAATTTATAGGTGAACTGCACTGGTAAGGTATCTAATTCTGTGATGTGTTGAAGCTTCAAGGTGGAGATTGTTTAGTGAAGCTTCAAACGGTGTCGTATTGGAGTGATCTATACGCTGTCGTTTTGAAGCTATGTTAAGTGACATATCTTAGCCATTAATCTCAGCTAAATCCAACGGTGGAAACTAGCCCAGATGGTCAACCTATTTAAAGTTGAACTTCACTGAAGAAAGCAGATCGAAAAAACTGACTCTCTCTCTCTCGTTATTCGTCAATGCTAGGGTTCTTAGTATTGATTCCTTCAAGTTGTAATCAGGTCACGGTTTTGTTATTAGAATTATGGGTAAAAGAAGCAGTAGATTCTTCTGGTAGAGACGCTTGTATCAGTTGTCTTGATTGTGTTGATTACGGGTAGATTGGAGTGTTATGTGAGTGGAGAGATTTAGGTTATTGGCATTTCTTGTTTGTAATCTGTAAAGAATTTGATCCTTATAGTGCAGGGAGTCTCAAAATTACATTGAGCTCAACGTGGATGTAGTTTATTCCATTGGAATAAACGAACCATGGTAAATCTTGGCTGTGTTCTTTGTGTTTTGTGCAGTGAATAAGTGTGTTGGTTGTGTTTCTTTGAGGAATAGGTTAGGTTTGTGTTTGATTAATTTTAACAGTGGTATCAGAGCGAGTATTAGGGTTTTCTTGGTCTGCCTTGTTTGTTCGTGTAACCTAAGATTATACAAATTGGGGGTTTCTCGAAAATCAGTCAAATTAGGATCCTAGGGCTAAGAAAACCTTAGATTGTTTTGTCAATTTCTTGAAATTGACTCCAATTCGATCCTAAACAGATTAGGGTTCCTATTGTGTCAACCCTAAATCCAAACACCAACCCAAAATCTAAACACAAGCCCTAAATCCAAACACTATGACTACTATACGAGTTGAAATCACCCAATTCGATGGGAAAATTGATTTCAACAGTTGGAAGAAGAAAATGAAAGCCTTATTGTCACATAATAAGGTAGCCATCGCACTGGAGAAGGATGAAACCAAATGGTCAGAGGAGAAACTGAAAAAGAAAGCAGAGTTGGAGGAGGAGGCATACAACCTGATCATCATGAATCTCTCCGATGGCGTCCTATGGAAATTAGACGGGTATGAAACTCCGACTGCGGTATGGGGTAAACTTGAATTCCTTTATGCTTTACAATCTGCACCAAACTTAGCTTACTTAAAAGGTGTTTTGTTTGCATATAAAATGGATAGCTTTAAGACCATTGATGAAAATCTTGACGAGTTCTTGAAAATGACCCAAGTGTTGAAGGGTACAGATTAAGAACTCGTGGACTCTAGTTTAGCTATGATTTTATTGAATTCCCTGACCGAGGATTACTAGGTTGTAAAAAATACCCTATAATACACTGGTACTGTCCCAAGCGTGGACTTAATAGTTTCAGGATTAAAAGCTAGAGAGATAGAGCTTAAGGTGCAAAGGAGAATTGGTAGTAATCTGTTTGTTAAGGGAAAGGGTGAACTAAACCAGTTAGGCAATACTGTTCAATCTGATAGTGGCCCTAGGAATAAGAAAAAGGGAAAAATGAACCATAAAACCAAGGGAGAAACCAGGAAGTGTTTCTTCTATAATAAAACTGGTCATTTACAAAAGAATTGCTATGCCTGGCTTAAGAAACAGAAACAAGGGAACACTAAAAGCAACCTAGCAACCTCTAAGTCTAATATTGAAGAATCTAAAGTCTTAA